TAACTTGAAAATATTTTTTTAGTTTTTTGGTGCTTCCGGCCCTTGCTGAAGCCCATTAGATTTAGATTCTTGGCATTTTCCCGATCAATCCTAACACTTGACGCCTTTCTTCAGGAAACTTTCCAGTGCAGCGGCCAGTCGCTCGTCGGCGCCCCTTCGGGGCGCCACTCGCGGCTAGCCGCTGCCACGTGTAATCTTATTCGCTCAAAAGATAATCCTCTTTGCCTTACACCCTATCGAATTCCAGACTGCTCTTACTTCGAAAAATCTTTAGGTCTCTAATACGAGAATTCTCGATGGACAGTTCCGAACCGCTACTTTGTTATGAAATACTCCTTATTTCTTCAACCCAATTGTCTAGTTCGAAAGTCAGGGATTAATTAGAATTTCTGACGAAGAGGATGCCGGTGGAGAGTGTGGGCGTAGGCGTGAGTGTTGAGTATGCCGTGGGTATGGGCAGATGTGGGGGTGGGGATGGGGGTGAATGTCGATATGGATGGGCGTAGATGTTGAGACCAGTGTTTTCCCAATCCATACCCGCACCTCCACAGTCCACAACCACACCCGACTCATCAACACCCATAACCACACCCATGTCCACACGCACACCACCACCACAAAAAGCCCCCACCCGCACCACAGTATACCCACACCCACATCCACACATTCACACCCACAGCCATACCGACATCCATACACCCACACCCTCATTGGTCGAATCTCTGAACTCGAAAAAGCCTCATTGGCTGGCTGTTCTGCTCAAAGGAATCTGGGTGGCTGAAAGCGCGAGGTCAAAACCCTAATTGGGTGATTTTCGAGGTTGAGAGAATATAATTGGTCAAATACCGTAGGTCGGAAAACCCTGACTTGCTGGTTATCTAACTTGAACAATCTGATTGATCGAATCGCGGAAGTTGGAAAGCTCTGATTGGGTGGCTCTATAGCTCGAAAGAATCTGTTTGATCGAAAGCGCGAGGTCGAAAACCCGTGATTGACTGGTTTTCCAGATCGAAAGCGCGAGGTCGAAAACCCGTGATTGACTGGTTTTCCAGCTCGAAAGAATCCAATTGGTCGAATCCATGAGCTCGGAAAGCCCTGATTGGCTGGTTCTCTAGCTCTAAAGAATCTGATTGGTTGAAAGCGTGAGGCCGAAAACTTCTGATTGGCTCGTTGTTTAGCTTGGAAGAAACTAGTTGGTCGAAAGCGCGGGATCGAAAACCCTTAATTGACTGATTTTCCAGCTTGAAAGAATCTGATTGATCAAAAACACGAGGTCGAAAACTCCTGATTGGGCGGTTTTTAGCTTGAAAGAATCTGATTGGTCGAAAGCACAAGGTCGAAAATCTCCGATTGGCCGGCTTTTTAGCTTACAGAAATCTGATTGCTCGAAAGCGGGAGGTTGAAAATCCCTGATTGGCCGGTTTTTTAGCTCGCAGAAATCTGATTGGCCGATAGCGCGAGGTCGAAAATCCCTGATTGGCTGATTTATTTGGTTGAAAAGAGCTGACTGGCCGAAAGCGCGAGGTCGAAAACTCCTGGCTGGTCGATTTTTTAGCTTGCAGAAATCTGATTGGTCGAAAGCGTGAGGTCGAAAACCCCTGATTAGTCGATTTTTAGCTGGCAGAAATCTGATTGGTCGAATGCGCAAGGTCGAAAACCCCTGATTGGCTGATTTATTAGATTGAAAAAAGCTGATTGATGGAAAGCACGAGGCCGAAAATTCCTGATTGGCTGATTTATTACGTTGAAAAAAGCTGATTGGCCGGAAGCGCGAGGCCGAAAACCCTTGATTGGCAGATTTTTTAGCTTGCAGAAATCTGATTGGTCGAATGCGCAAGGTCGAAAACCCCTGATTGGTCGATTTTTAGCTCGCAGAAATCTGATGTCGAATGCGCAAGGGCGAAAACCCCTGATTGGCTGATTTATTAGGTTGAAAAAAGCTGATTGGTGGAAAGCACGACGCCGAAAATCCTGATTGGCTGATTTATTATGTTGAAAAAAGCTGATTGGCCGAAAGTGCGAGGCCGAAAAGCCTTGATTGGCAGGTTTTTTAGCTTGCAGAAATCTGATTCGTCGAAAGCGCGAGGTCGAAAACTCTTGATTGGACGGTTTTTTAGCTTGAAAGAATCTGATTGGTCGAAAGCGTGGGGTCGAATACTTCTGATTGGATAGTTTCGAAGAGTGACAGTCCGATTTGGTGATCTTATGTTTTTTTGACCTTTGTGTTCTTTTGACCCTGGCACAGACAGAGCCACAAACGCTTTTGAGTTTTTTTCGTATGACCCTCCCTTCAGTCGAGGGAATAAAATGAACAAATTCTGACTAAGATTGAAAATATCGATGAGTGCTAGTGGTAGAAGATCGGAGAAAGTTGAACAAGTTCATCGCATCCCATATGCCAAATTTCTTCCATGCAGATGCACATGCTATTGAAAATGACATGCGTTTCTCAGCAGATTGATTACGCTGTGAGAGGAATATATTCATGATTGTTTCAATGTCTGATCTTATGTAATATATGTTGGACGCTGTGTAGAAAAGAGATCAACGATTACCTGATTCGTTCAAGTAGAGCCATGTTCATTTGAATCTTTCGAGTGCTAATGGTAATGCTTGATATTTTTCATACTTTATATAAATCAATGGTTGAGGAATCCTTTGCAAATAGATCGGAACAATAAAATTATCGACAATATCAATTGAAGTATTTGATGGTAAAGACTTTAGAAGAGCGTTCTCATATTGTTGAATTAGTGTTGAATTTTTGATTGAATGAGATTGTTCGTTATTAGACAAGTATTGGGCAATTGATACAATGATTAATGATTGGCGAAGCATCTTTTTTCGGTGAAAATTCCATTAGAAGACAACTGTTTCTAGTTTTCGAAGACAATCCACCACATGCTGCAATAATGACATTAAGTATCAATGGATGAATATTCAATGCACAAATGTCGTCTGACAGAAAATACTCTGACAAATGTTAATTAAAACCTTAATCAGGTAGATCTGGTGATGTCATTGCATTTGGCAAAGTTCGATCGAGAATGAACTCGACTGGTGTACTTGTGTTGTGAAACGACCAAAGTTGTTGAGAGATTACTATTAATAGTGATTTCCAAATATACAAAGTTCTGTTTGGAAATTTCACACTTTCCATTGGAAAAGATTGACAAAACTAATCAGATATTTCTCATCTTTTTTATGTAACTGCATCTATTCTATTAGAATAACTTTGGGCAATTTGTATCACTCGAAGATCATGTATATCTCTTTAATAAGATCAGATGGATGAGCTAGTCAGCAATGCCCGAGTTCCGGAAATTATAAATTCTGTAGAATTCTACTCTACAACTGTAATTCAAGTGTCGATACCTCCCTTGCTATCAAGTTAAACGAAGGAATTCAAGGAAATCAAGTAAGTCTAGCAATTCAACGAATTCAATAGAATTTTAATGAGCAAGACTTGCCAATAAATTTAAAGATTAATAAATATCAATAAAATTGAAGCAATTCAAGAGGTAATCAAAGAATTTTTATTACTCAAGTAAATGATAACTGTAGACGAATCGCAATAGAATTCTACGAAACGAGACTTAGAAATTAGTTCATACTTCTGTAATTATAGGTTGGACTTCGCTGAAGTTTACGAACGAATAAATACTATTGGAAGCTGGAAGTATTCAAAGTTTTATAGAGGATGTTAAATTTTAGAAAAGACAGAACGACAAAAGGTTGTTAAAATAGGTGGAAAGAGATCGGTGTAAAGAAATCTTTCAATAACATGGATTTCATAACTTTCAAGAAATTGTATTCAATCAACAATTCAATAGAAGAGAATGAGCGTGATTATGGAAATGAATGAAATGAAAGAAGATCAGTGGTTTAGGAACCTGATCGTTGCGTTATACCCATTAAATGAATTTTGTATATTCGTGAAGATTTCTCGGAAGATCAGAATTCTAAGGTAGTCCTAAATCAAAAGTTTCACTTGTTTTATGTTACGAAAACTCTGTTAGACCATAGTGAGACAATTGAAATCGAAAAGTTTCTCGTACTTTGTTAGATATCACTCTGAAGAATACACCGGACGAAGCGAGATATATTGGTAACAATGTGAAATGCACAGATTAAATGGATGATATTCCTGAAACCTGTTTATCCGGTTCAGCTGGAGAATTGACATATGATGCTACCTATTAGTTTCCATAAAACTATGTGACTTTTCGGAATTCGAATGGTTTTCTGGTAAATACCGTAGTTCTAATGGTACTCACATAAGTGAGGGTAAGGGCACAAACATCCTCAAGGCATCTCTCTCGCTGAAAGTGAAGGCGAAAACACATACACATGTGGAAAGACACACACAGGCCATCTCTCTCAGTGATGATGAGGGAGGAAACACATCCACAGGACATGTCTCTCAATGAGGGTGAGGGCGAAAATACATCAACGGGCATATCTCACCACGTGTAAGAGCGAAACCACACGCACGAAAAGAGACTCAGTTCGGGCATCTCTCTCGCTGAGGGTGAAGGTGGTGGTCACAGCGCAGAACACGCATCCTTGAGGCATTCAGGTTGTATGAAATTCCTTGAATGACACCAATAGTTAGTACTGCTCATACTTATCCCTTAAGCTCGATTGACTAGAATTCTTTTGAATTCCTAGAATTACTTGAGTTGCTAGAATTTCTTGATTTCCTTCGTCTAGCTTGACAGCAATAGAGGTGTCGATACTTGAATTACAGTTGTAGAGTAGAATTCTATAGAGTTGCTAATTTCTGGAACTCGGATATATGTCTTTCAATGATATTATAAAAACAGTTCTAGACAATCTATCGTCATATTGGCGCCATAGAAATTGACACGTCAATCTGTATAAAAGCAGTATCAAGAGGCCTATAATACATAGATAAATGGGTAAAACAAAAAGAAATTTCAATTTTTCGTAGTTTTTTATGACTGGATCCAGACGAATACCAGGATAGCCATGACGGGCTACGAAAGATCTTCGCGTAATTTACAAGTTGGACAGTAATACTCATTTCTAGAAGCTTCTTGCACGAAACCTATGCCATCAATATATTTCTCATAGTAGCCATTAACCCGATATAGTCGTCTATCTAAAGAGCAAGAAATGATGGACTTTTATTTGATAAATCTTGTCGTCAAAAATACAAACCTGAACAGTTACAACATTGTTTTGTTGCCCATAGATTGCAGTAGTGTCCACAGATCTTTTCTTTTGCTTCGTCTCGATAATCGACTTCTTCCGGTGGTGCCATTTCAGCAACGCTAACGCCAACAGTTTCGATGTCATCTGCCGTAGGACTCCTTGCTGGAATCTCTCTGAGACGAACAATAGTTAAATCGCGATTTGCTCGTTTTTTACCAGTAACCAGAAACTCAGTACCAGGTAGTAGAAGAACTTCTTCATCGTCCGGCGAAGAATACGAATAATTTTGAATCAATTTTCCGTTAATACATTTAATGTAGAAAAGTGTTCTTTGACCATTGTTTCCGAGAAATTCTTCTTTGCTTAACATCTCCAGTGATCGTGTACAGGAACTAAAACCCCACCAAGTTAGTTTTTTGCCTTTTACAAAGTTACTAGAAATATTACCATTCACACCGCGATAGACAAGACCATTGAGCGATGGTAGTTTTTCTAATGCTTCAATTAAAAGTCTTAAATAGAGCAAGATTGGTTTTAATTCACTACGATCCGCTAGACGAAGTGTAGAGTTCACTACATAAAAAAGACTTTCTTGTTCTGTCTTTGATTCCATTGTATAAAGTTTAATTGCTGCACGTTCATCTATAGTAAGATTATTAACATCAATTTCTTCTGAGCATTCTTTTTTAGACAAACACACTTTGTTTTGAATGTGAGCATCGATCTTGAATGCTTTATGTTGTTGTATATGAACGATTGCTTCTTCAAGTAAAGGTTGTACCAATTGTTGATAGCCTTTAATTAGTGATAACTTATCACCAGTTTCATGCATAAGATCGAAGAAACGAGAACGACCAGGTGAAGTTGATGGTGCTGTTTTTGTCATAATCGACAATGTCTTTTAAATATAGAACAAGAAAAAAAAATGATCGGCAAATAGGTAGTGAGACACCTTTATAAAGAAAAGAAAGGTAATTGTGAAATTGTAATTTTGCAATTCATATTGCTCATTAGTTGTGCAAGAATCAAAGAAAGAAAAGCCAAGCAATTGTTTAATCATACCTCTTTTAAATTCGAGACAAGCAAAGAACAGAACGACAGAAACCATATCTCCCCTTTATACAACAGTATGATGTCGAAAAATAACGAATATAGTACCATACACACAACAATAACTAAAACCAGATCCATAATCAAAACAAACCAAAAGTGATCAATAAATTTAACATTATTGAATCGCTGAAACATTTTAATTAATACAAAATATAAAATGATTCTCACTTTTACGCTTTTATTTGTGTGATATTCAAGTTTCATTGGTTCTTATTAACGTATAAGAAAACTTTACTGCAGATTCATCTTAAAAACTAGCTTCTAAGTTTTCTGACTCACGTTGGAAAATGGTATATTTTGTGAAACTTCTCTTTTTTTGTGCGTACTTTATTCATATTAAAAGCACTTAAAAGTGATTTTGGTTTACTTTTTTGTTATGTAGGAAGCGAAAAAAATTTTATTGATTTACTAGAAACACTAAACTGTCAGGAAGTGCAGGATAATAAGCTTGCTAATACTAATAAAAAGCTCTACCTTAGTATTTTAAATATTGACAATCGGTTAGTACGATGATTTTTCCAAGCTCAGGACTGCCACAGATTTGAAACAACCGGAGGTCATCTAGTTCATTTTTGGTCTTTGATTCAAATGCTATAGTCATTTTCGATCAAGCTGACAACTTTTTGTTTTGGTTCTGCAGTGTGATACACTGCTTCGTTTGCAGTTTAACACGAGAAAATGATGGTACAGTAGATTATAACTCAAAATATAGCAGCCACGAAGTACTGAACAAGTAAATTCTAATCAAGAAGAACATTAATCCATCAAGTTTTGTCTTATTTGAAAACAAGCTTAATTATTAATTACAATCATATCAAAGTTCAGTCAAGTCTATATATAAAAGAGAAGAGAGTTGAAAATGTTTTCTTTTCATTATGAGAACTGAGCAGAAGAGTATATTGTCTGTTCTCTCATCGAATATGAAAATGACAGCAACTAATCTCTTTTAAATTCAGAGATACTTTTCCTTTATCGACAGCAATCAATATTCAGTTATATTCATGAAGGAATTACTGATCAAAATAACTTTTCAGTCGTACTATCTGATCGAAGACTTATTTTAAGAACCTACTTTTACACAAAAGCAAGTGCAACTTTACAATCAGTATTCAAAAACAACCTAGAATTGTTTGATGAACGTCCGTAAATGACATTTATATACTTTGGTTTATAACTGCTGAAAAACGGAAAGTGAATGCTGTTCTATCTGGTCTTGGCTCGTGCATTAGTAGTAAAGTTCTACTGAGCACTACGTTTTCATTCACTACGATATTATTCAGACATCACAAACCCGTATTGCATTTTCCTTCCTAAAATGCATAAGAGTAGAATTCAAGATTCTAGCCAAACAAGCATTCATATTGTTAAAAAAGAAAGAACGAAAACTATTAGAACAATTATTAAGATTATCACCATTTCTGATTCATGAATTAGATGAAAATGGAAATGATACATTACTTCATGTTTGTCTCAAAGTTCATGGTTGTCGATATCGAATAGTGGGATTTCTAATCACAATGAAACCTGATCTTCAAAGAAGAAATTCAAGTGGTGAAAACTTTTTCGATGCAATTCAACTGGAGAGTAATCGAAAACTATTAGAAAAGTTAAATAGCGAAGAAATCATGAAAATATGAGAATTACAATTTTATTTCAACCAAGGAGAAATTATCCGATGAACAACATGAATATCATGTTGTCAACATTTTAGAAAATTTTCTGTTTGTCTCGTATACCTGTTCAAACTTGATAATCTGTAACCATTATTTTTGCCCCTACTTTACCATGAATAAAAAGGAAACAAGATTTTATCTGTTCAGACAGGATAAGACTTCGACAGCTTTTGATAATAGGCAGAAATATAGAAATCTTGCACAAATATCTGAAAAATTTATTTCGAATCAAAAGATTGTCTATTGTTTGTATTCGGACACATTCATCCGTCATTTTGAAGCATTTTATCATTGTATTTCAATATTGCCACATCTTCTGCTTAGTATTCATATAAGTCTATTCCTGAACCATTTTACAAGTATCCATAGTCCGTACGTCTATCTAAGCTTTCGAAAATTTTGTTTACATATACCGTCGAAAAGTAAAGTTCATCTACATTTTCACTTCTTAAATTGGATTGAAGAAGAACAATAATTCTCAATAACAACTTATTGATCACCAAGAGCGGTTTAAGAATATTGCTCCCAATGCCACGCTCGACCTGTGTCGACTTCTGGATGTCGAAGAGGATACAAACAATGTGTGAACATTCAAGTCTTGGGTAGACATTAACAACGGTCTAAACAGCAAATCTTGGAACACATGATTTTTGTTATTTTGTTGTTAACTACTATTGATTAGCAGCTAACCGTTGATTTGCTTAGAAGATAGGAAAAATATTTTTTAGCTTCTAAAATCACCTGTTCATATTAATGTTTGCTTGTCAAACCGTTATGTCTCACAATAATTAAGAAGTTTCTTTCAAACTAACAAAGTAAAAGCCCATGAAAATATTCGACCATGATGATGCCATACTGAATATCCAGATTTAATCGTTCAATAGTGAGTGACACCCATCGATGAAAATGTACACGACATCTATTCCGAAATTTGATCAATTTACATTTATTTGTAAATAACAATTACTCTTTTCATCATATAAGTGGTTTTTACTATTAGAAGCATAATTGATAGATAGATAAATCATTTCTTGCCTCCTACGCAAACATGAAGGAGAACGAAAGAACGTGCACAACATGTTTCGCAAGTTTTACGAAATGCTATTCGTTTGTCTTTCTCTTCACATAAAACGTGATGTGTATTTCTTCATTATTTCGTTGAATATATTGGTGGTGCCTGCTTCGACTTTTCTAAAATATATCAGTAGTTTGTTAATATGAAATTTTGAATCACGCATAAGAAGATACAAAAAAAATGATTGATGATGTATATATCACAATATAATTAATTTTCAATTCATAAGAGTTTCAAATCAAATTATTAACATAAGAAAATTACATATACATAAGTTATATACTAACTAACTATATCAGAAATAACGATAAAAACAGATAGAAAGCAGGAATAAATGAAAAAAATTTTTGAAGATGATATATGTATTGGTTATATATGATAATGTGTACATGTAATAAAAATGCTATTAATACATTCTTAGTAAAGATGAGATTATCAGTCACAGAATGACAAACGATTAACAAGAATGGATATTTTCTATATAAATCATAACACAATTAATAATCAGTTCTTCAGAAGTTTTAATTACAATATAATAAGGAAATAACAAAATGAACATTTTATATATGAATCAGAAAATAACAAATAATCAGTTCTTGAGAAGTTACAAATTTAACATGATAAACAAGTAAAAAAAAAAAGAAAATTTTTTTTGAAAGCAAATCACAATATAGATTAATACTCAGTTCATTAGAAGTTTCTAAATGTAAAGTGCCAACAGGACATCACATAATGAATTATATCCTTATAACTAGATACGAAATATCAACAACGAATAACAAAGATGAAAAAACGAAAAAGAACAAGAAATGAAAAAATGAAAAAATATATAGATATAAGTGTATGTTAAAGATTACATATGGTTCGCTGTATATCAAGAAAACACAACATGCCAATTAAAATATAAATATTATCAATACACTAGTTCTTTGGTTAAGATGAAATACAAATAACAAAATATGTAATGAATACAAAATATAATAAGCATCCACATGTAGAAACCTTAAATAGAGAAATAATACACAATCATTTTTATATCAAGAAAATCATAAACAAATTAAATGGTGTCATTATTGTAAACGATCTAGTTACTTATTATGAAGATGTTACAATCATAAAATAAACAACAAGGACTTTTATAGATATATAAGTTAATATTAAGTAGATTAGATTTTGAAAAGAAAACAACAAAAAGAGATAAAGTGAATACAATAAACAAAACATAAGTGAAAGTATGATATCTACAACAACTGCTAATCAAGTACAGATATTGAACATGTACAAGAGAAAAACTAGTATCTTTTCTTTTTAGTTGAACAAAAATCTCTGTTGTATGAAAATGTAAGATTAAAAAATAATCTAAATCTTAGAATATATGATAAGAATGATAATTGTATATACAAATCAGTTAACAATGGAAACTATATATTTTTTTTTTATATGTACAGAAAGATAAAATATAAATATAAATAAGATCAAGAAATTGATGATAAACAATGTATTAGTATATGTTGACGTTTGCAACCTAAATATATGAGTGTGACGAATGTCGACCTTGATGATAGTGTAGAACACTTCTCATAACACCTATCTATGTAAGCATTCAACGTAACTACTAGGTTTCAACAAATGAACTATTTTTCATTATTTGTTTATTCTTTTCTCTATATAAATATAATAAACGTAATAAAAATAATAATAATAATTAGATATAAATAAACTTCAATGGTTTTAGTTTAGTTATCTATTTAAAGATAGATACGAATTCTCTTTTTTTATTCTGAAATAAAAATGGTGCAATCAATTAGGTGAAAGATAGAAGAGTTGAAAAATAAATGATGAATTCAAAACTGAGTGAATAAGAAAAATAAATAAATAAATGAATGAATGAAGATGATGTAAATATTAATTCTGTTCTTATTGAGATTAAAGGAATCCTCACATTATGAGGACTTTCATGATGTGAAATTAAATGGAATAAGTTTTTATGAAAATAAAGTTTGATTATGTGGGATTTTCTACAGATGAAAGAGAATCAATTGAATGATATTTTGTGAAGATGATTAAATCACGTTAGGAATTATAATAAGAATGATATCTAATCGTTAAGATAATCAGTAAATGATAGATATTGATTCAATTAGAGTAATATCGCTAATGATCAGTCCATTGATGAATGTATGAAAAGGATAATCGTCTTTTCTCAATTTTTTCTTATGGAGTATATATAAGTTACTTCAATTCTGAGTTGATATATAAAAAAATGAACGGAATTTGTGAAAACAGCTTGTATAGCATTTGTCGATGTAAAAATGGTTATCATTTGCCCATAGCATTGCCATTATATGATGGACACTGCCACGTGGATTTATTTTTTCGTTATGGACTTGATAAAAATAATTTCAATGCATATGTTTCAAATGGAAGAAAAATAATATTAATTGATAATCGACATCAATATTATCGCTGGTTCATTGATTATGAATTAAAACATCCTAATGTTACGATATACACAACGTTTGGTATACATCCTAAATATTTACCAACACGTATAGATGATGTTTTTAAAAAATTAGAAGTAATTTTTAAAAATAATTTTAATAATACTATGATAAATGTAGGAATTGGAGAATGTGGACTTGATGAAACTAGCAATTATGCATTTGAATTACAATTAATTGTATTTAGAAAACAATTAAAATTAGCATCTGAGTTAAATTTACCTATTGTTTTACATGGACGAGGAAATGATTCATTTAATTTGATGTTTCATGAGTTGACATTACACTTAAGTTCTACACATAAAATTCATTGGCACTGTGTGAATCAAAGAAGTAACCTGGATATCATTACACGTTTTCTTAATCATTTCAAGCATTCGTATATTGGAATTAATTGTTCAATTTTTGGTCAAGATGATATGGAATCACAAAATATATTTTACAAATGGCTCTTATCATTTGAAAATATTCTTTCTCGTATAATTATTGAAACAGATTATTTTTTTTTAAAAACCTTTAATACTACAATATACACAATATAATCCTATCAGTGGTATTATCTGCACAGCGCAACAACTTGTTAATATATTAGGAAAGAAAAATATTAACGCAACAAAAATTATCGATCAATCTAATAAAAATATTCAAGAAATGTATCGAGTCAATTAATAATAATTGTTTGTACACTTTCTTATCTTTGTTACTTTCTCTCTATATTTATATACAGATGTCATTTTTGATAAAAATAACTTGGAAATCTTAGCTATGAGCGAACATTGAATACTATCAATATCACACAATTCAGAAATAATACACATAGATACTTTCTCTTACAGATTCACTTACCAAAATTTAAATGAAACTTTATACAATAACATTTTATTGCTTTCATCTTGACGACGATTTGGTATTGATTGTTAATTTTAATAGTAAAACAAAACGTCAATTTAGTTTAAAGTAATTTAATTTCAGTCCTCACCACAAAACTTAAGTTCTTGATATCCTTCGTTCTTTTTTTGAAAATTTCTCAATCTTTCGTATGGTCATAAAACTAAACAAAGTATTTAATATAATCCGAATTCATGTTTATCTTCAGTAATAAATAAATTTTTCCGAGACATACTCCATCGTCAATTATAGACTGTTGAATGAGAAACAAAACAAAAAAAAAAGAATAATCCATCATGCATATCATGTTGATCTGTTTGATTTTAAATGATGCTGCTCTCTTTCATCTTCTTTAAAATCCCTTTTCGCATTGGTCTACATGTATTCTCATTGTTGTTCTGTTCTTTCTATCATCAACTAATATATAATCTGAGCGTTTTCTTTCGCTCAATCATTCCTGACGATGTATATATGATTTCGTACACAAAACCTTGAGTCATTTCTTCTTCTGTTACAAATAAAATTGTGACTTTCTTTGCAGTTATCTCTTTTTTCGTTAAATACTCAACTCTTTTCCTTGCATTTCTTTAGTATTCTTTTCTTTTATTAATTTCATTCGCATATAGTACGAGAACTATTAACAATATAATAAATAACAATCACATTCTTATTTCTCTATCTATCCTTCATATTCTTACTCACTTAAGCATCTTTGTATTTGAATATATTGTCTATTCGTTTACTAAAAAAAATTTCATTTAATGACCATTTTTCTTTTCTTCTAATTGAAATTTAACCAAGTCATCAGAATTTAATAGATATACATCCATATTGTTATTATTAAGAATTTTCATTTCATTAGTTTTCTCTTCACATATATTTATATACTAATAGATAAATAAATAACGATCACATTTAGATAAATATTATATTATATCTCGCGTTATAACTTATATATCATTATTTTGTAGATATACATCCAAATTTAATAAATAGAATGTTTAGAAACTAATTTTGGTTGATGTTGTGAGACGTGATCTGCTATAACATCAAGGTCGACACTCTCCGCATTAATTCAAATTTTACATTTAGATAAATATAATTGTTATATGTAGAGACTAATGTTGGTTGATGTTGTGAGAAGTAATCTGCTATAACATCAAGGTTGACACTCTTCGCATCAGTCTCAATTAGTTAATAAATATTAACATATGATATCTTTCTTTAGAACTTACTA